ATCTGACCTTAAGGGAGATGCTTTCACGGACATGGTCAGTTCTTCTGTGTCCTCTCAAAGCCAACCTCTGTTTCTCCAAGCCCAGACTTAAACACTGACCACAGGGGTAATAAATTTACGAAGGGATGAGGAAGGAGTCCAGCTTCTTCCTGGAAGCTGGGGGTCCCTTAAACAGCTCTTCTACTAAGGCGGACGCCCTGTTAACAGTCCTTTAGTGTCACCGGTAGGTCAGGTCACCCCATCGCTTGAAATCAAATGACTCCCCCCCTACCAGTTTCAAATAAGGCATTTCCATTGGGCTTGCTCCATGTATTTAAAAAAAAAAAAAAGAATTGGGAGAGGTAGGAGAAAATACCAGGGATTTCAAGAACCAGCCTGCTTCCCGCCTCTGGAGAACAAGATTAATTTTGAATCATGAAAAATTTTATGAAAACCTCCCCCTACTAGCCTATGAAATATCTCCCTTTACCATAGAAAATGAGTTGCCTGGGTGAAACGGAGTGTGGAAGTTGGCGTCTATAATGAGTGAGTACAAATGTGGATTGAAGCTGACAGATATGGGAATAAAAGAGTTGCAGCAGGTTAGAACTCATGGATACATTCAACACATGAAATTCTGCTAAGATACATCAAAAATAGCAACAGGACCAGATATTCAGTTTGTTTTCTTTGGTACGTAATAGATCAGTCGTGGCTCCGATGCCAGTCTGATTTGTCTTTTTGCTAGAAAATGAGACTCCATAAAGGAAAACATTGCCAACAGGATTGAAGAGGTTGAAACTCATAGGAAGGAATTTGCCTTTTCACGAAGAATTCAATTTACCAGAAACATCCACTTGTGGGGTGTTTATGAAGAAATGTACCATTTAGCATTATTCTAAATTTATAGAAATAACTGAACAATAACAAAGATTTACCCCACAAAATGCTCAGTGCAGAGCTCACTACTGTTTTTCATTTCTATCTTATGGCATATGATTTGGATTAATTGGAGACATACTTCAATTTATAGCTAAAATGACTTAAATGAGTTCAATAGAAAAAATATTTAAAAATGCTTTACTAAGGTAGGTAGTTATTAGGTATCAGTTTTAGAACTACAAATATTCTGCAATGCCTTTAATTATATATTTGAGGTTAATCGTTTACATGGATACTAGTTCTATGCCTTTGACAGATGCCTTGAAAATTAAAAAAAAATCAAATCGTTCAGATAAAAAATTTAACTATAAGAAATCATAGACCAGCTTAGTGTTTTTGAAATTCTTCAAACACATCCGAGTGGGAACAGTTCCATTATCAAAACACATTTTATTTAACTACGAAAGTTCTTTTTAATTCCAATCTTCTAATTCGTTTGTGATTGCTATCAGAGCTCCTTTACTTTGAAAAAAACGCATAAGGACAAAAAAAAAGATTGAAGATCCTATTGAAGATCGTATTTCTTACATGTAAAACTTCATTCTCATCACACAAACTCTGTCGTGCACACGTTGATCATATTCAATAAAATATTTATTTTAAATTCATGCCACAAAATTGAATCAGAACTACTGCTTTAAAACGAAAAATCACTCGTAATAATTTAGTCGATTAGTTTCAGTAATTGCCCCCATAACAAAAACACGACTGAAGCAACCCTGGGAATCCTGGGGGAAAAGAAAGAACTTCTTTAAAATGAAGAAAAGTCACTGACATCATTATACTTTCAACGAATTCTGAAAGCAGTCTGTAGAGCAAACTGTATAAATTTTGCAGTTGATCTAAAATTTAAGACTGTTACAACAGCTAAAAGCTTTTGTAACCATTTCTAAGCTACAAACATTCTCCTTGATTTAAAATACTTTTCTTTGCTTGAAGGGAAGCAGAAATATATTAAACCATTTCAAAGAAGATTCTAAAAATATTCTTTAATTTTGAAACTGCATCTTAAATGCTTAAAACATATGTATGACACCAGGGCCATACTTAATTAGTTATAATTGAGGTTTTTGATCAGTTTTTATTAATACCAGTTTTGCTAACTATGTGTAAAATTAAATTTTGTTATAAAGTTACATATGGAAAAGTAAGCAAGCTACATAAAAATAAAAAATAAAAAAAATCATTCTCCCCGTTGCTTTGGTTCATGTGACATGAATTTGCTTGTGGATGAAATGTTCACATCTTTAAGCAACAGCAGGGAAAAACTCAGTTTGCATTTACAAATAAAATAGCTGCTCCAGGTCAATAAAGAAAAGTATATTTTCTCTACTAGAACTATATTAGGAAGTTCTTAAGGATTTAGTTTTCTATCTGGATGTCACACTAACTGGATGAAAGACACATCTAAGTGGCAGAGGGGAACTTATTTTTAAGACCGGATTAGCAAAACACGTCCACGTTTCATGCATTAAAATAATTTCTCTATAATAAGATCATATGCCGGAGCTACTTTATTTCTGACAGATCATTACTGGTAGATAGAGATGTATTAAACATTGTAAACAATTATTGCCTGCTTTTATGTCTCAACCTTAGCGTTTTTCCGTATTTTATGCAGAGTGAGCTTTATTAGCCTATTTATTAAGCCTATTTATTGTTTTGTGAAATCAGAGCCCAAAACGACTGGAAGAGAGAGAGAGGGAAAGAGAAAGAGAAGATTGAAATTTTCCAGTGTTTCCACCATGTTCAGTGGCCCAATTACAGATCTACTGGGGAATGCAGTTCAGTTAAAAAAAAAAAAAAGAAAGAAAAAAGAGAATTAATATCGATGTTTAGACTGACTTAAGATTGAGCTTTTCTGGGGGACCAAAGCTTATGAAACTGCACATAAATAGCCCTTGCCTCCTATGAAGAGGTTTAGGAAACTTTCTTTACCTATGAGTCTGACTAGCCAGCCAGCTATCGGATTATGGCAAATCCACTGGCCGAATGGGTACAGCTGCAATCTGTACATACAAATTTGCCATCATCAATCTGTTTGAAGAAAATGAAATGCTTGTTCTTTTGTGGGGAGGGGAGGAAGATTGAGAGATAATATTTTGACTCAAATAAATGGTGATAACCTACTACAAACAATAAAAGATAGTAATCTGGCTTTTGCCCCACATCAGTCCCTGCACATTTTGAAGTTCTTGCCAAAGCTTAATCACGCGGGGGGCCCCAGCGGTATGGGGCTATAGCCTAGTGGTCTCTTTCAAGAGCAAAGGGAAGTTATTTCTTAAAATAAGTAAACCGGTATAACACATACTTTATTTATTTGCATATGACTAAATAAAAACTTCTCTTTTAGGTTAGGAGAGCACATGTGAAGGCAGACACGGTCAGATAATTCTAGGTGTAACCAAAAGAGGGCACCATCTACCCTTGATGCCTGCAGAGTTCCTGTGGTCATGCAAACAAAATCCCCCCAAAAAAACCCCAAGCCCCTGAACCCCAGAAGAAAGGGCATCCCACGGTTCCTGACATTTTGTAGCTCTCCATGGAGACCGAATTCTGGAATCGCCCCTTTATGCAGCACAGCACTTTGGTTGTTCACTTCAGGACTGATTTAGCACGAGGAGCAAGTATTTAACATTCCCTGCGACACTTTTCAGAGCCTTCAAGATTAATATTTTATAGGGCACTGAGACAATTTCTCCTTAGGCTGGAGCACAGGCTGTCATCAAGCAGCACGAGAAAAAAGATGACAATTAACTTCCTAATGCTATCCTAACGCCAAGAGGTTATCTGTAGTGATAGATAGATAAGGAACAGTGGCAGAAGGATCTCCTGACACACGGAGGACACAGTTAAGTGCATCTGAGGTATGTGGGAAATAATTTGAAACCGCATTTGATGCCAACTTTTAGTAACAGAAGCCTAACAAATGTTCATTCTTGCAAGTGGGAGAAAAAAGCATCCCGACGCGACTCATAAATGTATTTTCTGTATTCTCAAACATGCTTTATGACAAGTGCACGACTTACATAGGTAAGTGTTTGGGGGGGGGAGGATTGCACACCTCCCTTGTATCCAACCGATTTCTTCAGGGAGGTGGGGAAGAGTAGTTTCGGGCTCGTAAATCTAGTTGCCAAACTGCTCTCAAAAATTCACCATTCAGAAGACCGCATGATTCTCGAAACCACGAGTCTCGCATTTTTAAACCAGAGGCTGGGGTATGAGCGTTTCACTGGGCAGCACAGACAAGCCGTTGAGGGAAATCCTAGGGAAGGGCCATCTCCGTCTCCATCTCCAACACCAGTGAACAAACACGTCACTACCTGTGCAACGGGTGCCACTGGGGAGAAACCTGGTGGGGAAATAAATAGTCCTGGAAGCTTTTCAAGTCAAGCAAAGTACCAACAACAGCTTTATGGCAGATGACAAGGGACTGCCCTCTGCTGATGCTACTATCCCGCAGGAGGGTCTCCTCTTTTCAAAGCAGTAGTAAAGCCAATTAAAAAAAAAAACAGAATTTTTCTTTTCTGTTCTATTCTGTCTCTGTAGAAAGAGAATGGCTAGGTAGTGGAAGGCGTTGTGCAAGCCTCTTCATGTTTCTTTTCTCCAGAAAACAACGGAACAGAGGAAGGAACGAGTTCACACAAACATCCCGACTGGCTCCTGCCAAGGGACATCAGAGAAGCCGCGATGGGGATTGCGTGGGCTTGGGGGGGGGGCTCGGGGCGGTGGCTCCCATTAGGCCCTGAACGTGCCACCTGTGACCACCCCGTGACCCCCCGTGACCCGCTGCCCCTGGTCTCGGTGCCTGGAGATACTGCACGGGACTGGGGGCGAGCAGTGTGTGGGTCCCCGCAGCTGCACAGACACCTGTTACCTCCGGGCCGGGTTGGGGTTGGGGCTCATCCCGAGGGTGTCGCCCCCCCTTCCCTGCCCCACTTGCCCCTTCCTCCCCGGGAGGGGGAGACGGTTAAAGATTACACGGGCCGCGGCCACTTCAAAGGGCGGCACGGGCAGCCAAAGGTGGAGATAACACTCCTGTGGTTGCCACACTCTAATCACTTCATTAAAAAAAAAAAAAAAAAAAAAAAAAAAAAAAAAAAAAGAAAAAGAAAGTAAAGAAAGGAAGAAAAGAGAAGAGAAGAGGAAAAAAGATCCCATCCCGCGCTGGCGCAGGGGATGCACAGTGAGTCCCTCCCGGGCTGGGCAAGTCGGGGCTCCCCTTTGGGGACAGTCGCCTTCGGCTGCCCGCGGGGGCGGGAGGCCGCGGAGGGGAGGTCGAGGCAGGGGTCGTCGGGCGCCCGCCCGCTGGGTTCCAGGCGAACCGGCCCGCGACCTGCCTGCAGCCGCATCGCGGCGCCGACGCCCCGGCGCTTCCCGGGCTTGCACTTGCAGCGGGGCCTCCGCGGCCCTAAACTTGCGCTCGGGCTGCCCCCCCGCCCCGACCCCGCCAGCCTGGCCCTGCGGCCCAGCGCGTGTGCCCGAGACGCCCTCTGAGGACTCGCCCGGCGCCCCCGGGACCCCCCGGAGACCCCGGTGTGCAACTGGCAGCTCCTCCCCGATGTGCACCTCCCTGGGCCCCCCCAGGTGTGCGGCTGGCAGCTCCTCCCCGATCTGCACCCCGACCCCCCCAGGTCCTCCCCCAGGTGTGCATCTGGCCGCTCATCCTCGATGTGCCCCCCCGACCCCCCATCGGTGCGCGGCTGGCCTCTCATCCCTGACCTGCACCCCCAGCACCCCCCCCCCCCGTGCAGCTGGCCGCTCATCCTCCATGTGTCCCCCCAGCAACCCCCCTCGCTGAGCGGCTGGCTTCTCATCCACGATCTGCACCCCCCCTCGGTGCGCGGCTGACCTTTCCTCCCCGATGTGCCCTCCCGGGCCCCCCAGGTGAGCGGCTGCCCTCTCCTCCCCAATGTGCCCCCCCCCCCGCTGAGCGGCTGATCTCTCCTCCCCGATGTCCGCCCCCCCGGACCCCCCAGGTGTGCGTCTGGCCGCTCGTCTCCGAACTGCCCCCCCTCGGTGCGCGGCTGCCCTCTCCTCCCCGATGTGCCCCCCCGGACCCCCCAGGTGAGCGTCTGCGCTCTGCTCCCCGAAGTGCGCCCCCCGCCCCCGCCGCGGCCGAGCGCGGCGCACTCACAGGTAGGAGGTGAAGACGCTGAGGTTGGAGGGCAGCTCCGAGAGCCCCCGGTCGGAGCAGTCGGCCCGGAGCAGCGTCCTGCCGTCGGGCTCGCACTGACAGCGCGCGGGGCAGCCCCGCAGGAGCGCGCGGGGCCCGGGCGAGCCGCCCACGGCCGCCAGCTGCAGCAGCGCGGGCAGCGCCAGGAGGGCACCGGCGGGGGCGGCGGGCATCGTGGGTGCGGGGCCGCGGGCGCTCAGCGCGGGCTGGGGCCGGGGCTGGGGCCGGGGCCGGGGCTAGGGCCGGGGCCGGGGCCGGGGCCGGGGCCGGGGCCGGGGCTGGGGCTGGGGCTCGGGCTGCGGGTCCCGCCGTGCGCGCTGCCGCCGCCGCGGGGGCCGAGGGCGCTGCTGCGGCGGGCCGCCCGCTCGGCGAGGAGCAGCATCTCCGCTCGCACGCCGCTGTTTTAAAGCGCTCCGGCCCGAATCGCGCGCGCGGTGACGTCAGCGCGGCCCGGCTCCCCCCTCCCCCCCCCCCCCGCGGCCGCACTTTCCCTCCCGGGCCCCCTCCCTCCTCCGGGCCGGGGCGCGGGGACCCCACCCCCCGGCGAAGGGCCACGTCAAATAAGGGATGGGATACACGGAGTGATTAAAAAAAAAAAAAAAGACTAAAATTCAATCCAGAAACACAGTCCCGGTCACCAGGGTAAGGAGGCAGGCATCCCTGGCGACGGCGGGGTCCCTCCGAGCCTCGCCCTCAGCACAGTCTTGCCCCCCGAGGCCCTGACCCCCAGGGGCGGGGGCACTGGCTGAACCTGGGGCCGGAGGGCTAGGGGGCTCCTTTTCCCAGGTGCTTCACGATCCCTGGAAAGGCAACTTTAGGTGCACAGGGAGCTGTTTGCTTTCGTCCAGCGAGGGGCCTTAACCTGCCAGGTGCTCCGGGGTCCTCCGAATGCAGCACCCCTCCACCTCCACCCCAACCCGGGGGACGAGAGCAGGACGTGCGTCTCCTGCAGTGAGACAAGTGAGACAAGTGAGTGGATGGGAGAAAGGAGGAAAGGGACTTAGGGCTTTCTTGCAGAGAAGGCCTCCGTGGGGACAAGTCAGTGCCCAGGCCTGTCACATCAACCCACAAACACGCACGATTTGCTCTCTGGGGCACAATGCCTCCTTGTTTCAGGAAGGTGGAGAACCCTTTTGGGTCTCAAGGCCTCTCTTAATCTTCTCCCACTTAGCCTTTCCCACCGAATTTCCCACATAAACTTCTGAATTTTACAGCTGGGAAGTGCTCTTCCTGTTTGGTTAGGCATGTTTACCCTCCTTCACTGAAGGAGTGATCCCTACACCTGCCTCATCAATCACCTGTGCAGGTTTTCCGATTAAACAGGTACCCGGACTGGAATCAGTATTACGGATGTGTCCTTTTCTGGAGTGAATCCCTTTATTGGCAAGTTTGCGAGTGTCTGGGTTAGGTGGGGGCTGGGGGGTGGGTGGGAAGCAGAGTGCCTAGGAATTATAAACTCCATCCTCCTCATTTTGCAAATAAAGGAACTGTGGTGCAGAGATTTTGGAAAATTTGGCAGCGGCTGCTGCAAACTGTGAGTTAAGCCTGGTCTCTGGCTGTCAGTGCAGTGCCCAGCTCTGGACTGTGTTTGGTGCACACCACATCCCCAACCATCACTTTGCTTGCTCTCGCCTCATTCCTGTTCCTCCCACCCATCCCTTCCACAGGTAGAGAATGACTTCTAATCGCTAATTTTCCTCCCCACTTTTTTTTTCTTTCCCCAGATTACTTAGGCTGTCAGTGCAACTCAAGATTTACTTTTTTCTGTGAAGCCTCCCATGCCCACAGTCTGCATTAATCATCAAGCAAGCAGTATTTGTAGAACAGCGAGGATCATGATGCGGCAGCAGCGACCAGAGGGGCAAGTTAGCTCTCCTCAAGGGGCTTGCAGTCTACAGGGGACCTTAGGCTCCCTACAGGAATCCCACAGAGGATGAGTCTCACTGAACAGTATGTTGTAAATAGCACAAAATGTAGTTCTGCAGCTTTCTTGAAAGCATGTTTGTTTCATTTGGCCAACTTTATTGTGATAACTTTGGAGGCAGTGACCAGGCCATTTGTCTTATCTTTACCTGTAGGACTGGAGCTCACGGTCGTGACCCCAAACCTAACAAATATTTACTGACTGATTTATCAAGATGGGCATCCAAATACGGTTGTGTCCACCGTCTGCCTGAAAACTTTTGGCAATACTTTCTTGACTTCAGCGTTGCCGAAGAGAGCATAACACTTCAGTTTTGAGTGAACGGGGCAGAACCAAATTTAAATGTAGGCTCTGCAAGTTTCAGGCTATTTGATCAGAGGCATGGAATGAGCCCACCTGTCTCAGGTGCCTTCTCTGTAAAAGGGGGATAATTATTTGCCTGCGTCGTTCTCAATGTGAAAATGTCTGGGACTTGGCCTAGAGCAAAGTAGATTTTCAACCCACGTTTGCACCTTTCCTCTTCTTTTTCAGGAATTGAAATTTCTCGATGAATTCATGTAGAGCAGAGGCTATTTCTGACTCAGTTAAAGGGGTAGGCAGCTGTGCTGAATGAAGCCAGGTGTAATGAGCATCTGTCATAGATCTGTCTGTCTGTCTGTCTTCATGCCAACATTTCTCCCCTTTCCCGTAGGTAGGAATACTCCACACTTCTCCTTGGGAAACTTTAAGTGGGTCTGGCGACGCTGTCTATTGTGTGGCTCTGCCTCCCTGCCCTGGGCAGGTTTACGACCCAAGCAGAGCAACCCGAATCTGTTTAGGGGGTTTTCATAGACCCCAGGGTGGACAAGATCCCTGGTTTCTTGAGTTGTAAGGACAAGGAGATTTAGAGTCGGGGGGTGGGGGGTGGGTGGGTGTCATTCTGCTGTAGAGAAAACTCACTGGACATGATTAGCACTAGCAAAGCGAGAAACAAAATCCTTGGGTCATCTTTTAAACACCTGGATCTAAGGCTGTTTCTACCCATCACCTCTAGGTTGGTGAATCAATCAATTTTGTTTTGTTTTGTTTGAGGTAGTGAGTGAAGTTTTAGTTGTGATCACTTACAAGCAAGAATGCTCAGTAAAAACCTGAAAGCACAGGAAGTATGAACATTTAAGAGTGGCTTGATAAACCCCCAAGGTCTTGTAGATCTTAAAAGAAAATCTCATAGGTTGCAAATAAGAATGATTTGGCTAATGGTAATTTTATTGATTGAATGCATGTAGGTTAGTCGTTAGTCACTTTGTCTAACTATAAAGATGAAAACATAGCAAATCAGATTCCTTGCACACCAAAGACAAAACAAAACAACAGTTCTAGTGAGAACACTTTGTCTATTTTGTGGCAAATGCCATTTAATTTATAAGATCAGGCTCTCAAATTGCATCATAATGACCATCAGCATTGACTCAGCCCTTTATACATTCATATCCTCCCTGGAACCTTATGAGATGATAATATTCTTGCCCCAATTTTAAGGATAGGAAATGCAAGTAGTTTTCCTAATGGAGACCAGCAAGTCAGTGATAGAACTAACATTCTGAGACTTATGACTTTATGTTCTTTTCCAAATCCCTTGAGAATTCTGAGCACCACCACCACCACCACCACCACCACCACCACCACCACCGCCACTCCACCCCAACCCCCAAGCATGTATGTATAGACTTAAACTGGATAAGATCTTGGGTTTACTGTCATTTCTTTACAAAAGAAATTCACATTTAAAACAATTTCTTAAAGATTTAATTTTTCAAGCAATCTCTACACTCAGTGTGGGGCTTGAACTTACAACCCCGAGATCAAGAGTTGCATGCTCTACTGAGTGAGGCAGCCAGGGACACCATTACATATTTTTTTTTATACAAGAAAAGTATAGTCTTTTGGGCTGCAGTGGATCCTACTGGAGCTGAGAATGGTGGCTCTTTATGTGCAGAGTAGAGGCAAGTATACATTCAAACTTCTTCGTCTTAAATATATGCATTTCTGTTCTCTCTTGATAACTCACAGGAATACATACAGGTGAGATGTCAGAGCAAAACAACAGTACCTTTACCTGTGATAGCAAGGTTATAGGCTAAAGCAGATTTGTTTAGTATTTTGTCTGGGTGAAATGTTCTTATTGATGATTTTGGAAGGTATCTCGTGTTAATGAGCTGGTATGTAATGGAAGATCTCATGCCAGAATTTAAATCGCTTATTGCTCCTCAGACTCTTTGATTGCAAGTTCCTAAAATCGATTCTGGTAAAGCGCAATCTGGTATGTGTCTACTTTTGGGGTTTGCTAAATGGATGATTTCCTAATTCTTTAATCTTTGATAAAAGTCCACAGCTAAAAACATTCATGTACGCCACAAGAATTACTAATAAGCTTAGTTGAAGCATGCCAGGATAATTTTAGTTAACAGGTAAGTCAATATTTCTTTTACAAGTATAGTGAAATAGTGTTTACACAACTGGTGGGCTATTATGGACTTATTTAACTTGTTTGAGAGCGTATAGAGCCCATTATTTGCCCTGCTCATTTTACATTCATGATATAATCAGGCTTATGCTGAATTTCTTAACTTCCTTTCACCAACAAAATCTAATTAATTGGGAAGGGAGGAGGATTTAAGAATAGAGATCTATTTTTCTTCCAGAATTATTTATTTTGCAAGAAAGCATTAGTTCGGCTAGTTCATTACTTTGAAATAGCCTGTTGTATAAAATCAATTGGATCTGTCTTTGATATTATCCAACAAAAAGGAAACCTTTAAATATATCCACATGCTCACAGCAGGCTAAAAGAAAAGACAGTGGTGTATGATATTATCAATTCGTTAGCTCATTTGATCCTCTTGTCTTATTTCATGTATGATAATGAACATGGTTCTACTGGTATGAGGCCTGCTTCCTGAGAATGAATGTCTAATCAAACTCACATGTAAACCAGAGATAGATTTTTCTCTTCAAACTAAGAATAAAGTAAGTGAGAAAAAATATAATAAAATACTTCAAATTAAATGAACTTACTGCTTATTCACACGCTTTATTTGATTCTGCTAAGGACTACCTGAGTATCCAGACAAAGCCTTCCATATGCCCAATATGATGGATCTTTTCCTGGTCTTTTTAGAAGTAGACTTTTCAGATTTCTAACCATCTACCATGTACACATGCTCTTATTTACCCGGCAGGGCTCAGATAGAGCATAGACCTTATTCCAAAACGATGATGAGGTGCTAATAGGTTCCTATTCCCAGAACTGCTTCCCCCAAGGCATGTTGCTAGAGTATATAGAAATCTACAACCCCTCATCCACAATTCCGAAATCCTAAGAGCTCTGTAAACAGAAAGGTTTTCTGAAACAAATTTGGTGGCACAATCTGAACTGAGTGGATGTGAATCTTTCTTGCATTTCCTGTTAACTTTCACTCAGTTTGCTGTAGAAATATTGATGTCCTCGATTGCAGCATGCTATCCCGGGTTCCCCTGGGAGTTTCATGTAATATATGGGGTCTCCTTCTCAATGTAGTTAAGTTTTTAAATCTTTCAAAATTCTGCATTTGGCAAGATCTGGGACCCTGGCATTTTTGGCAAGGGGATTGTGGACCTATACTTATATTTGGAATATTTATTTCATAAACAATTTACAGGGGAAAAAGAAAGACAAAAAAGGAATATTAGAACCCATATCAGTGGGACACCTGGGTGGCTAGGGGGGTGAGCGTCTGTCTTCAGCTCAGGGCATGATTCTGGGGTCCAGGGATTGAGTCCCACATCAGGCTCCCTGCATGGAGTCTGCTTCTCCCTCTGCCTGTGTCTCTGCCTCTCTCATTCTGTCTCTCATGCATAAATAAATAAAATCTTAAAAAAAAACATGTCATCAAGAGCAAGACTCAGAAGAGAAAGGGAGTAGCTCAGGTGAGTGAGTGGCCATCCCTGAACATGTTGTCCTTTGCAGAGATGTAACTTCCTGTCTCTTGTTCTGGGCATATGTTTGGGAAACGGCTAATAGAAAACATCCTATATATTAGAAGTTAGTTCTCTCAAGCACTGAAGAGTAAATAACAAATGGTAAGCATATTTCAGACAAGAAAAACCAGAGACGTTAGGCAGAAATAGTGAAAGGAGAAGAAAATGTGGAGCTTACCTAGAAGAACGAATTTATGGATTTGCAGGATTTGTAAAGTAAAATAAACGAATACAGAGCATGCTGTTTCCCAAAATGCTTTATTTTGATAAGTCTGGTGTATTTTAATTGAGTATGCATAGTAGCATTTCACTGCAATTACAATCCCATAAAGCGGGGCAAAATATATTGCACAAACATTGTGGTTCAAGTAAATGAGTCATAATAAAACATTGTCCAGATTGCTGCAATTAAAATTTACAGAAACCTTTTGTTGAGTGTTGTTTGGTTTGTGGATTAATAAAATGAGCCTGTTTGTTTTAATTTTTCTTTAACTAGGGCTAACATTTTAATTTTAAGTTTCATAGATTTTTCTTCTTTTGCCTAGATTGTTAGATCAGTACTTGGCAGAAAGAACTCTCTTTGCAGTTTCAAGAAACAGTTATTTTCTAAGAGTTGATCCCTTTCATTTCCTTATTAACCTTCACTCTCCTTTGTTTACGGTCTCTCTGTTTTTCCCACTCCCATTTTCTTCCTAACTTCCCGTCAAGATTGCTGGGAGAGGGTGAATAGCATGAGGGCCATTGGTTGGGTCACAGGGGAAGGGCAGCGTGGCACAGCAGCGCAGTCTGGGTTTGGGGTTCTCACAGACTAGGCTTCAAGTCTCTGCTCGGTCATTTACCACCTGTAGGGCTTGGAGCAGCTTCATCCCCGAGGCCCAGTTTCTCATCTGCAAGGTAAGGACAAATAAATAGTAGACCCCTTAGCAGAACGAGGGCTAATGCATTACAGGGCTTGACATGCAATAAGCACTTAATATATGGCAACGATAGGGGACTTTCCATGATTAGAAGGTAAGAATCACTGAACTCTTCAAGAGTTGTCGAGTTGTCCCCTTAACAAAGTCTGTTCAACTCTATAGAGACGGTAGGATAAGAAGTAGCAAATGGGTCTTTCACTTTTTTTTCTTTTGCTAATGACTTCAGTACTTTGAACGTTTACTGTGGTTTCACATGAGAGTAGAAATATATCATGAAATTTTGAGTTCACCTTGATTGGGAATATTTGCTAGTGAAGGAGTCTGGGTTTCATTCAGCATACCTCGGTTTTCAGTTGTAGTAAAGCCTCAGTTCCCAGTTTTAATTAGAATGTATTTAATCAAAAGCAACTCTTGCGTATGGAGAGATGCCCAGATCTGGGAATGGGGGATAAATACATATGGCGCCTGCTTTCAAGTGATTTACTATTAAGTTGAGAAGACAGACACGGAGAACAGATCATTAAAATGCAGTATGTAAAATCCAGAGATGAGAAAAATGCAGTTAGGGTGAAAAAGGAGGGCCAACTAAGTGAGAAAGCCTTCCTAGACAAGGGCACCAGGAATTTGTGAAGTGAAGAGGAGTAGAAGGATATCCTTGGGAGCCGGATGGGGACCAAATGTAGTCTGTAGGTGATGATTAGGGCAGCTCCAGCTTAGGGTGAACACACGTGAAGCTTGGGAGACCAGCAGAAGGTAAAGCTGGAGAGACGCACCAAGGCAGGGGGATTGTGAGAATGGGTACTAAATGCCATCTTCCTAAGCTCAGGCTTGATCTTTGCAACTAGGGGCCCAGGCCCCTTACTGCACGGGAATGACATCGTCCTATTTCATCTCTGGGAAAAGAGAACAGTGGTGTCTCTACAGGGCCCTGTTGGAGAAGTCAGAGATGAGAGGTAGGAGCA